CGGTTTGACCGTAAGTGACAACGTTGGACGTATTTTGACGATTCCATTAGATTAAGCTTGACATTTTCAACAACTTTGCTTCTTTGATGTATAACTAGTTCTCAATACTTTTTAAGATATCTGGAAAAAACTTTTCGTCCCTCTAGATCCCTTAATTTTTGGATCAGCCCTTTTTCCGACATATTGTTTGAAAGATCTTCTAATTCTGCACAAATTATGCTCTATATATTTTAACAAAATATTTTTAGTTGAGAAGATAAGAAGCTAAATATGAGTAATTTTTGGTTCTTTTAAGCGTTCTAATTTTTCACCCCTATATAGCGCCATTTTGAATAGAGAATTCGAAAAACAAAAACGGATATGCACAACTTCAATCCTTCTATTATCTAAAATCAGTAGAATTTCTGCTCCAGCTTTAGCCGTCTCTGAGCCTTTGTCTGGAAACGAAAGACTATAAATTTTTGTTAAAAGGGAAATAACTCAAAACCGGAAGTAACTTTTTGAAATTTTAGTCAGCATTCTGATAGAGTTTATAAACGTCTATAACCTCTGAAAATTTGAGCGAAATCCGTTGAGAAATGAGCGAGTTGCGAGGTCTCAAAGTTGACGTATAGGGAAAAAAAGAATAATAGGGAATAATCTTGACCATCAGAATCAGTAGGTCTTCCGCTTGAGCGGAGGACCTTAATAATAAATTAAGAATAATCTGAATTTAGCACCCTTTATCAATGGCTGGTGTAGTTATCTGCTTTGATATACATTATCTTATAAAATGTTCCAAAAGCCACAAAACCCATTTGTAATTTGTTTGTATACGTCAGATATACGCAAATAAAGAAATTCACGATTTAAGAGAGTGTGTTGCTAAATTTAATCATACAGGATTGGAAGTGATATGATTGCTTGGAAAACTTACGTTTTATGTTAGTAAAATTCTTTTTTTAACGTTCTGAATAGGTGTTTAGATACTGTAGATTGGCAAATATTCACGATGGTTTTAATTTCGCTATGTTCACGATTTATTGATTTTCCGCGACATTTAGCCCATCGTAAATGTTATTTTTAGTTTTTAATAATGTTATATTACTTATAGGAAATTTTGAAATAATTTCTTGCAACGTGAAATTAAAACCATCGCAAATGGTTCCTTTTGAGATATCGTGAAATTTTAACACCGTGGAATTAAAACAATTCACAGTATGTCAAGCATGTAAAAAAAAAGCATAAAATTAACTCATATGCATTTCAAATTGTTACAATTTTAACTTAAGATTATAATATTTATCAGAAATTATCATTTAAAATATTAGAATATATTTTACTTAAACTTTTAATCTGGTGCAAAATATTTAATATCAATGTAATCATATTTTCTGGTTACCTGTAAATATTGGCAACATATAATAATAGTACATACGTGTATAATACCTGTACGCTGTACGTGAACAACGCCCATCCACTCTCTCTATTGCTAAGGATTATGAAAGATTCATGTTATCATATACTTTATCAATCACATGATGTCTTTAACCATGAAATCACTTATAAAGTCAGATGACTTGTCAGATAAAAAAAATTAGGTCAATTTAAAGTACCCAAACGACACTTAAGGAGTGTGAAAAGTGCGCAAGGTAAATTTTGCTTTAATGTATTTCATAAACATAATTTAGAAGTTAAAAAACATAGTTTCCAAGAATAATTTGCGTCCTGTTGTTAACTTTATAAAGATTGATGCTCAATATTTTAGGTCAGTTGACTAATTTAAGTGACCTATCGCTATCTGTTTTCCTCCGTCGTCGATCGTTGGACTTTGTTCGTGAATTTTGGAACATTTTCAGCTTCCTGTCTTTAACCACTAAAACAATTATTATCAAATTTGGTAATTACTGTGAAGCATTTAGGGTTAGGGTTAACAACAACTGTTAATTTCATGATCCCTGCCCCCACCCCCTCTTCCGGAGGGGGCTGAGGAGTGGGGCAAAACCACTAAAATTATTTCAATCTTTAAAAATCTTCTTTATTCTCGGACATCAAGCAGTCAAGCTGTTGGCATGATTGTACCTGTAATATACTTTGATTCCTCTATCTTAATTTTGGAGTGCCTCTTCAACAATTGTGAATTCATGGACCCTAAGTCAGGGGTTCCGGTGGTGTGTGTCTTCATTTTCAGTACATACAATTTATCATTGAGTGAAATACTGACTGACGTTTTCCATACTTATTGTGAGTCCATCATTTATACACTGAATTGACGACGTATTTTTCCCGGTATTTCCAAATTATGACTAAGAGCACACGGCGGGTGGGACCAGTAGGCAGGGGATGCTCACTCCTCCATTGCACCTGATCCCGCCTCTGATGTTTTGGAGGTCCGTGTTTGCTCTGCTCCTGTTTTGTATTGTTTTATGGACATTTGATCTTGAATATTGTTCGTTATCTCCATATGTTTCATTGAAAATATGTTTCTCTGCTCCTGTTTTTGAAGCCGATGACCTAAGGACATTGTTATGCTTTAGAAAATGTCTCTTCAAAAAATGTAAATTTCATGGACATTGTGCTAGGGTTTTCTTGTTGGGGGACATATTTATTATATTCTAAAAATAAATGTTTGCTTTGAATATCTTCTATGCCCATTGGAATAATTAAACAAACTATATACATACATGTAATTATGATGTGAAAGGATGACTCTCCCAAAATTCTTTATTCCATGGCCCCTGGGTCAGGATTTTTTGCATGTTGAAGGTGCTCTATTGATTGATAAACAAAAATGCATTAATGCTGTTCAAATCTTCTCCCCTGTCCCCAAGGTTTAAGCAAACAAACGTATGCAAAAACATCAAATATAAATGTATTAAATAGGTAAAAAGAGTACAAAATTATGGGAAGTAAAGCATATGAGAGTTTGATAGATATTGTTAATTATGTATCATTGTATATCATTAAATTCACTGGTCATTTGAATGAATTGGAATATATTAAAGAATATGATATATATAGAAAAACAATAAAAATGAATGTTTGGTAAAAATCAGCAGAGCAGACTCAAAGTCAGATTCTTGTCAGTAAAGCAATATAAAAATTTATATATTTTTTGTATCATGCAAACATTATATGAAGTGAACAAAGAATCTCAGAGAGCCAGGAAGACTGTAATCGGTTAAAAGTGTACTGAATTGTACCACTCTGCAAGTAACTAAAACATACCTGTATACAATATACACGTATTAATACCTTAAGCAATAGGCAAGTGTCGATTGTCTTTGTATATTTTGCATTCATTATCATCCATGTAAGACTCGAAGAACTCAATTAGATCCGAAGGAGATCACTTGAGTAGGCTGGTTACAATAATCAAGGATATTTTTAGATTTTGGAAATTTTTGGCCAATATTACATCGTAATCATGCAGTTAATTTTGTTTTACACAAGGGTTCCTTTACAGTATTGTACAAGTATTATACTAGGATTACCGTTAAGGCTCTTGGGCCTCTTTTTTAATTTCACGAAATGATCAAATAGCATGGATATTAAGATATAGCATTATAATTTGCAGAATGAAATACACAGTTTTTCATTTATGCATAATAACATCCTAGTTTTATATTGGAAAAATTGCTGTGATACAACATGAGCTTGATGTTTTAAACTTATATACATATATTTTATTAAAAGGAAATTTAACCCCCTCAATAATCTTTTCAGTTATGAACTCTTTTGTGCTCATGTGAGTGATCCTCTTATTTTAAGTATAAGGGAGCTTCACTATTATTTTTTAAGCCAATTTTTTTTAAATATAGAAAAGTCTAGGAACGGCTTAAAAGAGCTGTTTCTGAGTCATGTTTTGAATAATTGGAACTGCATTTAAGGTAGATGGCAGGTAAACTAAAGTCAAAGATAACAAGAAAACATTGATGTAACTATCAATTGTCGCCCCGGGAAATAAATAAACAATGGAAATGTGTATTGATCATCAAACTGCTTCGATATGTGTGAAAAAGGCATTCGTCGATGATGGAGAATATTTTGAAAACGTATAGTCGGATGAAAATCGAACAAAAATGGTGCCCTTTTTAAACTCTATCAATCCCTGAAGTAAACTTTGGCTGCATAAAAATATAAACTGAAACTAGACACATGCATCACATATTTTCAAAATTGTATTTCACTTTAAGAATATAAAACACGATCTATGTAAAGTACGTTTTTAAGCGACAAGTAAAATTCGATGTTCTAAAAAAGGGACCTGTCGTAATAAATGATTAGTAACTTTATATATTAAATATGAAAATCATATATATTTTTACAAATCAACTTTATGGAATTAAATATCTCATAAATGTATCTCTTCATTCATAAAGCAAAAGAACATTCTGATTAACAATATTTCTAATGTTCATAAAACCTTTAATTCTGAGTAACATTTCCCACCTTTATCCCCATACACCAACATTTAAACCTATATGTATAGTACAGCACGGTCCTCCGGGCTGCAATAAACATGATAAATTCAAAATAAATGAAAACAATTATCAATCTCGGAAACCTTACAAAGAATACTAATCGTTTACAGGGCATAAATAGTGTACATGTATATGTATATACTGTATTAAGGTTCATAAAACCTCCGCTCACTCATATAATATGTTGCTTGAACCTTCAAGATTTTCGAAAAGAAATGCATTTTATAAGTAAAATACAAACAATTACAACATAGCCTGCGGGGCAAAATTGGACCAAAAAATCTTCAATTTGGAAAATCTATGAAGGAATAATAGGCATATATGTCATTTAGATCTATCTCTCTTTATCAGAGTATCAATGTACCTTAATATTGTGTAGCAAAATCAATGTTTACCAGTTGTTTTTTTTTTGTTTTTTTTTATTTGAAAAGTTTTTTCCCAAGTCACTGAGCAAAGCTTTTCTATTCATTATCTCAAAAAATTGAATAGTTTGTGATTTTATTTTACAGAACCGTTATTTTATATCAAGCTTTCACTATGACTGATGAAAAGACAGATCCACAGAGTCAACTTAAGTGTTTATACGCTAGCTTAGAGAAAACAGTCTCTAAATTTGATCCTGAAATGCAGGAAAAAATGAATATTGCCGAGCAAAACTTCATAGGGAAACTTAGACTTCGCTTAAAGGATCTGGATAGGGAAAACTGTGGTATTGTTCTTACAGGTATGAAGAATTGTTTATCTTTTGTCAAGTATTTCTTAAACCCTTGGACCAATTTTGTAAAATACTCTAGCTATAATGGTTTAATACAAAAATACTTCTTTTGCTTCTTTCTCTCTCCAATCACTGTGAGTTCATTTACGTCAAAAAATTGCAGGTGAAGTTAGCGCCGGAAAAACAATGTTAATGAATCTTCTTGTTGGAAAAAGAATTATGAAACCAGCTAACCATCCATCAACGAAAAATGTTTACCGTATCCATAACAGAAAAGAATTTAAGATCACTTACTCGACAATAGAAGGAGAATTGATTCATCAAAAAAATTACGAAACTGAAAAAGCTCTACTGAAAGAACTAAGAGACTACAAAGAGGAGAAAAAATGCATTGACATCTTTCTTCCCTTACCAAGTTTAAAGGTAAAATATATAAAGGTACCATTCTTTAATTCCACTCATTTATAAAATGCATCAAAAATTTAAATAATAGGACATTTTTCTTCTTATAGCAAGTTTAAAGGTAAACATAACTCCAGTATTATATTTAAATACCCTAAAAACTCAAATTAATAAATTAAAATACGTTTTATAATTGGATTATTTACAAGAAAAATATAATAAATCCTGCAAATTTACATTTGATAAACGCTATGTCAACTTCTTTATAGTCAACTTTTCTGTAACACTATACCGTTTTTCTATGGACATGTTATTTATTTCTCATATTTGATTAATTACATAAAAGCGATGTCTACAATTGATGAATTTTTCAACGCAACTGGATCCTAACAAATAAGCTGATAATGCAAGAATATAAATTTCTTTTCAAGTCACTTTTTTCAAATCATAATCAATGCATAGAACCTGCGGCAAATACAACTTCATTTTTATTTTATCGAATATTGACTTGGGTCTACGAAGTGTTCTTTATTCTTTGATGCAGAATTGTTTTCAGACAAATATTTCAGTTTTAATTGTATTGATTTTATTTAAAGTGTAATTGTCGCTCTTGTTAATCTCATCCTTTTTAACATGCCGTAGATTTTTGTCATCCTATATAGGCTAAAACATATTATAAATTTGCCTACTTGCAAAAAGATTGCGGAAGTTGCAAAAAGGCTGATAAATATCTTTCTCAGTAGACAATTTAACAAATCCTGCTGCATTTATTTAAAACAGGGAAACATCGTTTTGATTGACACCCCAGGTGTTGGCTACACTTCCGAATACGATAACATCATCAAGGCAGTCATCCCGCATGCTGTTGCATTTGTTTTTGTGGCAAATCTTGGAAGTGCTGGAGGTTTTCAAGAGGGAAGGGTATAGATATTTAAAAATAATTCTATTTATAGCAGAATATTTAAAATAAGCCGAAGAAAAATTTCTATGCTTAGAAAATTATTATTTTTTATTTAAATTAATCACATAAAAATAAATCATATAATATTTTTTTTTAATTCCATATACCTCATAGGACAAATACTATGTAAAATTTTCTAAATTTATATATCCATACACATCATCTCTCACTTCTCATCTCTGAATAACCTTTCAAATACACTGAATTAACGTTCATTCTAAAATCTCCAACACCGTAATCGATGAAACTTATATTTCTGTCTGTCTATGGGTCTGTCCGCAAAACTTTAATCTTGTTTATAACCTTGAATGGATTGGGATATGGCTATTATGTTTCACAGGTATCTTCCCTATGACATGAACATTTTGGGGCATACCTTCATTTCCACCTCCTGATCTTGGCCAAAGAGTTTGACTACATTTGACACCCATTTAATTTAATATTATAAGCGATAATTTTTTTTTTCAAAAATACAATGTGTTTGTTGTCAATTACTTTGAAATTGGTGAAAAATAAGCATTTTTGTTGGTGTTTTGTCTAAACCCCCCCCCCCCCCCCCCCGTAAACACAACAAAGCTTTGGTATGAATTTGTAAAACGACAGTCCATATCACCTGTAAAACAAATTTTTGTTTAACGGTGGGATGTTTTAACTAGAGGCCCATGAGCCACATTGCTCACCTGAGCACTGTGGCTAGGAAAAAGTAGGAATTGGTTTATTACATTTAAAATTTTGGTCGGCCATTTTGGCCCCGCCCTACCCCCCTGGGTCATGATTTGAACAAATTTGAATCTACATTACCTGAGAATGCTTCAATATAAATATGATCAATTATGGATTTGTTATTCTTGAGAAGATTTTTAAAGAATTTTCCTATATATTTCTATGTAAAAGTTATGTCGGCCATTGTGGCCCGCCCTACCCCTGGGGTCATGATTTGAACAAACCTGAATCTACACTACCTAAGGATGCTTCCATATAAATATATCAATTGTGGCTTTGTTATTCTTGAGAAGATTTTTAAAACATGCCACCAAATTTTCATTAATTCCCAATTATCTCCCTTGAATGAAGGTGTGGCCATTCATTTGAACAAAGTTGAATTCCCTTCACCCAAGGATGCTTTATGGCAAGATCGGTTGAAATTGGCCCAACGATTCTTGAGAAGAAGTCGAGAATGTGAAAAGTTTACAGACAGACAGACGCCGGACAAAATGTGATCAGATAAGCTCACTTGTGCCTTCGGCTCAGGTGAGCTAAAAATATTTTACGTTTTCTGCATATTTCTATAGCTGAAACGCATGTTTTACCAAGATCATAGAGTAATTTCTCATTATTTTCCCAAATAAATTATGTTTTTGAAAATCTAAATAAGCACTGTATCTATAAAAAATAAAGAAATGATTCGAATATATCAACTTTCGAAAATTGACTTGGAGGTAGGCGGGAAATCAGTGCTATCGTTTGCAGTTCAACCAACACAAAAAGCTTCCATACGCGAGCAACAGAAGTTTCAAAAACACCTTGTTTGATATATATTATAATAGTTATAACACATATTATAAACCATTTATAGCTGCTGAAGATAATCAACGACATCGAGAATCAGATTGGACAAATGCCTTGTTTTGACCAACACGATGTTATTTTCTTGATGAATAAATATGACCAAGTCGGTGAGCATGAGAGGGAAGAAGTCATGAATAATGCAGTAGAGAATCTCCATAAAGTCTGGCCATATGTAGCTTTTGCACATGAAAATATGATGTTTATTAGTCTTAAAGAGGTAAGACTCTCTCTCTCTCTCTCGTTTTTCTGAATTTGAAAGACTTTTTTCTCTTTTTTATATTAAATGACAGAATTCTATTTTTAACATTTAATTTACTTATAGTGCCATTGGTCATTTAAAAAATATTGTGATAAAACATTCTGATTGTACACAAACGTAAGTAGTCTGAAATTATTATTAAAAAAGAGACCCGATTTTCTGAATGACAATATCGATGTACAGTTTAGAGAACAGGGGGTTGTATCATAAAGGGTACTAGAGTCTAAGATAATTCTAATGTAGGACTTAAGCACAGTCTAGAAGCGTGCCTAGATTTGGCAATCTTAGCAAAACATAGGCGGTCTGTAGAAGTGACTTAAGTATGTCTTAACTTTTGTATACACATATTATACAAATATGGACTAAATGTAGGTCAATATGCATTTATAATGACCCAGGATGACAGATATTGACCGAAGATACATGTAGTATATCGACCGAGGGCGCTAGCCCGAGGTCGATATACTTCATGTATCTTCGGTCAATATCTGTCATCCTGGGTCATTATAAGTGCATATTGACCGCGCATTGAGTCCATATTTATTATATTATATAAATAATAATTTTCCAAACTTATTAGTGCAATGTATATCATCCTATTATTTACAGAAATAGTATTTACCATAGATAAGTTGAATGCAAATGTTTCACAATTCATTGAATATTACTCAGAGGGAATTGTTTCGGCAATAAATATTTCATATAAAAATAATGACGCACGATATCTATCTCCGAATAACACAGAATACCCCCTCCCCCAGATTGAGAATCGCTCTGAGTCTCGTTTACACTTGTAGACGAAATGCACTGACAAAATATAAATACCTGCGAAAGTGAAAACGAGGCAGCTCGTGCGAGTCATTATTCGCTTTCAGCGGTCATTATTAAAAAATAAGTACTTCGTGCTGACCAATCAGATTACCGGATTTCACAAAGTTATATAATATTTAAAATATTTGTAGTTTAATTTCGACATCTAAACATTCCTCTAGTCATGTCATGTATCAAATTAAATGATAGTTTCTATTTAGTTGCTGTAACACAATGACAGCATAAATCTAAATATTAAATTTATTAATTATTATATTCAATAATTCTTTCTTAAATGTATTAACTTTATTTTTGTAAATGAAGAGAATGTTTATGCCTGTTGATACTTAAGTGCATTTTCATAAGAACATACTAATTGATGATGAACTCTACTACCGTGTACTAATTACCGACTACACGCTGAGAGGGTCAGAAATAGAAACTATTGTTTACTTCTTATTATTCTGACATTGTGCAGGAATGCGTTGACCACTACACTGACCAGTATCTGGTAATGATATGTTATTTCCTACGCATCTAGTGGGCTGGACATAGATCATACCTGATCTTCTCCCATATGGAAATGACAATAATATGCTAATCAAAAGTATCTTAAGAACACAATGATGGGAAGAACAATGAAGACTAACTAAATATTCATCAGTATGTGATCCGATTCCTGCTTCTAAATATGTGATACTCGTTCTGTACCCTCTAGTATTAAACTTGGTGCGCGCTTGGTATCAGCAGCCTTTTACCATCCTTGGCTCCGAGACTTTTGTTTGAACGCTTGCTGTAGTATTGAGTAACTCTTAGTTCCTTTTGACTTTGATTGTTAACCTTTGTTTTCAATTCCTTGTGGACTTATTAATAAAACAGTTATATAAACTTCAGTAGTCTTCTTAATCACGAGTAGTGTTACACGTGATAAATTGGTGTCGTGACCAGGATTACGTAATCTTACATAATATTTACAAACGGGAAGTCTCCTCATCGCCTTAAAGTACAACGACTTCAACGACTACTAGCGCTATTTTTGTGGTTGATCAGGTTATATTTGTTATGGTGCTAACACAATTTTGAAAGTTGTCGTTTAAAAATATCTAACACCTTCATATATTTCAAAGGTTTCGGAGAATAAAAAGGAAAATCAAGTCAACAAAGTTTTTCAAACATTTCAAGAAACACTAGAAGGTATCATCGAAAAGAATGCAAACAAACGCTTCAAAGAGCATAGAAGGTATGCAGGTCTCCTTTAAAATGAATAAAATGTTCAAAATAATTGTACCTTTCCGCATTCATAATTTTTCCGTTGCAAGACCTAAAGCAATGTTTATTATTCCAGGAGTTACGACAAATCTATTCTTGGAGTTCCATTTAGTTATGACTTTCAGAATATACTTGTATTTTCATTTTTTAGTAATTCAGACAATTAACACTGAACAATTTCGTTTGAAGAAAAATTATGAATCTTCATTCTTTTAGATACTTAGAAATGTTGCTGAAAGCTGCCATAACCACCTTTGATACAAACATTCAATGGCAGAGAAAACAATTCAAAGCAAATGAACTTAAAAGCGATGCACAAAAACTGCGTCAAGAATGTTCTGAGGTAGAGATCACGTTTCATTTTTGTCTTTTTGTTATCACTGAACATCGTACCTTGAATTTTTTTCAAAGAAAAAAAAAACACTATAAGCAGATTAAATACAGCATTTGACATGCAATATCATTAAATTTGTTTTCTTAAATAAATTTTTAAAGGTTACCGAATCCTTTTTTCAAAATGTTTTTTTTTTATTTCAGAGAGTAAATGACCTAAGCGATATTCTCAAAAGCACATCAGAAGCCCTTGCTCACGCATGCTATAACTATGTGACATCAGAAGAAGTTGCAAAGAGAATTATTAGAGATAGTCTTATCATGTATAAAGATTCAAATCATACATTAAATGCAAAAGATCTTTTACGAACACACTTTATACAGGCCCTAGAAAGTTGGTGTAGTCGGGAACCTATTCAAACTACTATAAATAGGGTAGAAAACGAGATTGAGGGTTTTTTGAAGCATTTTGAACAATCAATTGAAAACATATTAAGTGAGATGACAGGTAAAACAATGTCTTCTTCTGCTATTGTACCATTTAATTTTAAAAAGATGGTTGAGGAATTTGCCAATCGTTTACCTAAAGCAACAGCTTTTCGTTTATCTCTTGGTGTGAATATAAAATGGCTTCTGGGTATTTCTTCGTCAGAAGAAAGATTGAAAAAAATTCTTGAAAAGATTATCAGTGAATGCTCATACGTTAAATTAGCCGCAAGTTTTAAGGAAATACTTTTTATGCATTTCATTCCAAGAATAAATTCCTCAGTAGAAGCTTTTTTGAAATCACTGGAGTCCATAGATGAAATTCTTTTAGATGTTGAAAACATCGATGAATGCTCTGCTACAGATCTTGCAAAAATGGAAGGTGCTGTCGACTCATTGAGAATTATTTCTCAACGTCTTATGCTGTTAAATGCATAAGGCGATTTTAAATGAGTATTTAGTGAGAGTCCGCTTAGCGAAAAGTATAATAAAAATGTAACTTGAGGACTAGCTCAACTTAAAGAATTTTCAGCGTAGTTAAGCTAATGTTTAGTAAGATATTTCACCAAAATTTTTTTTTATATCTATCTTTATTAGTTTCACAATGGTCAATCTTGCATTCATTGTATTCAATAGTTCATTTGCCCCGATCACAGAGACGTTCTGAATTTCAAGTATTTATAAAAGAATTGTTTTTCTGAGTTTGAGTTAAGCTTAATGCGTGAGCGTCACTTAAAACTAAACAAACTCGCCATCAACCACCACAATATTGAAATTAATATTGTATCTAGGAAATGATGCATTTTCAGAAAAGAAGTTACAGTTGTATTACCATAGCTTTATTAGTTTATGCCACTCGCATGAAAGTCTTTTTATACCCCAGCTTGTAAAGCGGAAGTGATTAGTAACGGCAGTTTTCGTCCTTCCGTCTGTCTGTCCATTACTTTTACTTTGATGTTCTTATTTCTAGTCTATTGTCTAGTCTATTGTATATGATTAAGAGGGCTTTCACAGAATCTTTGTTGCTTTTAAAGTGCTATTTGTACACCTTCTTTTGGCTTCACCCTATAATCAAACAGAAGAGACGGTATCATTTTTGTTCAATTCTCACAGAACGTCTATTTCGAAAAAAAATCAGGGAGGGGGTACATGCTCCTTTTTAGGCTTTGTAAGTACGTTTATTAAAAATATCTCAATTCTTCGAATTTATTTATGCATTTGAAAAGTATTTGTGAAAACGATATCTAGATTCTAAATGAGCCAAGTAACAGCTTTTTAAAAAGCTTGCCTGACTAAATCAATCAATATCTGCATGAGGAGTGACAACCCTTTTGAGCAACACTTTTGTTTTTGAGAACCATGTGTAAATGAAATCTTGATTTACTAGTATTCAACTTTGAGAAGAATCATCTCTACACTGCATACTAAAAAATTGGTATTCAGTGGTATTTTCTGCAAGTGGAGTAATCTGTCCTTTTATCTAAATCAAGGTACATTGATACTCTGATAAGAGAGATAACTCCTAATGACACAAATGTCTATTATTCCTTTATAAATTTGTCAAGGTCAAGTGCCTTTTTTGTCCAATTTTGTCCCGCAAGCAATGCTGTAATTGTTTGTATTTCATTCAGTATGTACCTTTCCTTTGGAAAATCATAAAAGTTAAAGAAAAATTTCATATGAGTGAAAAGAGGGTTTATGAACCTTAATTGATTTCGAACTTCTTAATTTGTAACACCTTTTATAAAATCTGTTACAAAATCATGCAATATCAACATTCTAAAAGATGGATTAAATTAAAGAAACATTTTGTTGGAGTGTATTTTCTCTTATGAAGTAAAGAGTAGTAATGTGTCTTCGTTAATTTTTTTTTTTTCTTAAAAAGGGGGGAGGGGGTAGTCTCACTATCACATATCGAGAATTGTATCGAACGAAAAATCCAAAATTGTGCACTTGTTTCTTATTTATTGTGTGCATCTAAACAGAGACAATAACAGATCATACATCTGGAGACCATGACTTTGCTGAAATGCGTTGATTATTATAATTGGACTAGTCCA